TTTCTTCCGATACTTTTGTAAACAATAGAGAAAAAGCACGAAATAATTCAAACAACGAATCTACCTATTATCTCTGTGAACAAAGCCAGCGAGAATCGGAGAAACTCCGAATGGAACAGAGGCAGGCCTCGTATAGAAAGCGAACTATGCAAAACGATAGAGGGTAAAACCGCACCGGGGTATGTTGCAACGTGTAATTTTCGGGCATGGCCCGATATTATTGATGAGTTCGATTCTTCGAATCGATCAGGAATAATATCCCAACGGTGCTGGATACAGTGCGACGAGACGGGGTGAGGGGGAATTACGACGCCCACGGCAATCAACGGTACATTGCACTCGCTGGTAATGCCCTGCACTGCGTAAGTACGTATAACAATATATGTTAAATAACAGGTTTACGTATAAACAAGCAACAGAGTTCGGCAATCGAAGGGCACGTACACAACGAAATCTCACCTGAGCAGACCCGATCGAAGAAATATTTCATTACCTGTCCAGTTATTCTCGTTATTCTCACGCGTCGAACAAGCACAACACGAGGAGGAAATTTGCATTTTAAGTTAAACGTGTTTCAAAAAAAAGTACGATTAAATTGCAAAAAAAAAAGAAAAAAAGAACGACGACTGCGATGGAAAGAGACTTTCGAATATCCTGTCTTCTTAAGAAGAAGAAGAAATCGTGAAAAATTCGCTAATTTATGATACTTGCGAGTTATTTCGTTTTATTCCGTTCGTTAAGCTTAGATCGATCGTCCCCTCTATCCAAACCCTTTCATCGGCAAACCACGATTGGCGTTTGGTTAAATAACCTATTAAACAAGCATCGCGGTTCGCGATTCAGCTGTTTGTTCAAGATCGAAATTAATTGGCGACAGGGGAGTTGAAATAAATAATTACGCGACGCGTTAACGCGTTTAACCAACAAAATTTTCTCAATGAATCGATGGAGATTAATGCGACCAAGATGTATAACGTCGCAACCCCTCTTTTAAACGATTAATTGCAGTTTTCGATCTTGTAATTACCATGGATTTACTCGGTTACCGTTTCATATCGGTCTACGCGGTTATCACTGTCGTATTATCTGTAATCGTGGCAAATCGCTGTGATTTTAGGGATCAATGCCCCCCTTAACGCCTACAATTGTTCTCCGGCGAATTTAGACAGAGATACGTGTGCACAGTGTTCCCGGTGTACGATGATGCTCGTGATACGCTTTAATACACACCCTATTTGTTCTAGGAAAATGTTTCTGTCTACTCACGTTATTCTGGCAGCCATGATGACGAAGCACCGAACCCTTCATCCTGGCACAACACTGAAAATTAAGAAAAATATACATCAGTATCGTGGAAAATAGAGAATCTATTTTGAAATTGTTCGACGATTGAGAAATTCAAGTTTTATTAGAGAGTTAAAATCTTTTTGTTGGAACATTGTTGTGGATTACGAAAATTAATTTTATTGAGCAACGAAATTTCTGCATCGAGTAAGTCAGAATTGTTGAATTCATAAATTCTCAACTTGGAATTTTTTATTCCAGTACGATGATTGAGGAAGTCAAGTTTTAAAGACTTTTCTGTTGGAAAATTGTTGTAAGTTATAAAGATTGATTAAGCAACGTGATTTCTGTATTAAGTGAGCTCGAATTCTTAAATTCAGAGTTTTCAATTTGAAACTTTTTATTCGAGTACGATGGCGATCGTTCAAAATTGGGAAATTCGCGTTTAAATTCTTTTTTAATGTAAATCGTAAATAACAGCGAGGGTTGAAAGGATTTCGCAGAGGTTAGTGCCGCCAGTGAGTGGTGAATGGAATTGAAACGTGAACGAGCGGAATGTAGAAGTGCAAGGTAATGCAGTCTGAGCGAAGCATTTCTCGAAGTAGATGCAGGACCTGCCTGATCAGCCGCTGATAATTTAGAAATACGAGAATTGCACGGGTTTTAAATTCGATGCACCTTTTACCAATAGAACGAAATTTCTAAAATACAAATTAAACAAAAACTTCGGCAATTTTCCACGTATTGTTTAATAAATATTTAAATAGGAAAATTTACCTTTCATTTACGTTTATTTTATTACATTGCATTTCGCGAGAGAGCACAAGCAATCACGACTAATCAGCCAAAATTTAGTAAACAAGTTATTTGAAGATTGAGTCACTTGTATATTTCTTACAATTCCGCTTTCAGCCTTTAATTCTGAGAAGTTACACTTGGCGTTGATAAATGAAACAATGTTTATGGAAATTTTACGTGGAGGTATGTATTTTATCGCCACAAAGCATCGAGCGAAGTGGAAAACAATCAGGTGAACGTTTTCACCTGTCGTAAAATTTCATTTGCTGAATATTGATATGCGTACACGCAACTGCGATAACAGATGCTTCGGTGAAACGAATTAATCGATTTAACACTCAATCAGTTTACGTAGATATGAAATAACGCGTGCAAATATGTTGTTTCTTTGCACAATCTTTGTGCAACAAATTACAGTAACCAAAGCGGTCAAGTCGTGAAATATAATTCGTTAAAAAAAGTAGAAGACCTTTACAATTTTTATGTGACGTGCAATAATTATCATAAAAAGTTCGTTCAAATTCAGGCAAGTGAAGTACCGTTACGATAATATTTGAACTTTCTGCAATTTTAAATATCAGTTTACAATTGAATTGCGTGTAGAAAAGTTTCCTAATTCGTTTCTAACGATCCATCGTTCCACGTTATTTCACTTTAATTTAACACCGAGCTAAAATCTTTAAAAAGCATCTCATAAACTTTACGAGGAATAAAATATCGTTGCAAGTCGAAAAAGATTGCAAAAGGGGTAGTTAGAGAGAGGAACAACGAACGTTCAACAAAATTAATCGAGATTGCGCGTGGAAATGTAAGATCGTTCATCGGTAGTCCCTGAAGATCGCAGCTTAGTCACTGAAATTGTTCCACGTTCCGACTTGGTCCTCGGTTACGCTTGCGCTAAAGCAGCTAGTACTTAGCGCGTCTCTGTATAAAAGCGGCCACTTGTTGAACGACTTGCATTCCACCGATTCTCTTCAACCGTGGATATATCTGCTTTTCGAGGCCCGAAAAATCGTCTTCCGTGTTGTCTATAAAGTGATTGCAATTCATCAACGTTCCACAAGTTCGTATTCTCGAGCGCCGAATCTTGTTGTTCCTGTTCGTCGTGGGACACGAAGCTTCTAAAAAGGTCAGATTTTCGTGAATATCACTGGTTAACGATGAAATTTTTATTTTGAACATTTTCTGCGATGCTGAGAATCATTTGCTTACGTTTGAGAATAATTTGACACTTTATTAACGTATTAAGGGTGGTTTTTAAATTTGGGTGTTCGTATCTTCGAAATTTTTGAGGTTTGAATGAGATTGAAATTCAGAAAAATTAACGAAAGAAAAGAAAAAAGGAAAAGTTTCCTAAATTTGGGAGAGAGCTTGAGAATCATTTGATCGTTTAAACAAACTTGAAACTGTGAATATAAATATTCGGAAAATATCTGAAATTGGTGAAAATAAATTCAGCTCTCAATTGTATTCTCTAAATTTCAGTCAATGAAATCTTCGCGATAGCTCAAACTATAGTACTAAGAGTGGAGTATAAAAAATAGTTGTAAAGAAATTCAATAGATCAGTACGTTGCGTGGACAATGAAACATTTTTCATCGGGCAATTTCGCTATCGTGAAGATCAGTCCGCGCGGAAGATATTCCGGCGTCCGTCACCGTTGGACTTTTATTTCTCGATGAAATCGCGAATCGGCATCAGGTACCGGTGACTCGCGTCACACGTAAGCAGTCGGCATCGCTGATAAATCCTTCGAATCGCGCACGAATACTGAAAGCTACGGGAAATTACAAAAGTCGGAAACGGAAACGGTGGAAGGACGAGCTTTTAATATCGTCGAGCGTCATTCTGGCTTAAGCTTGAAGATCCTCCTCACTGTCGATGTTCGATTTTCCATTTTACGCTCGTATGGGCCTCCCGGATCTTTTATTTTCTTGTGTGTAATCAGCGGCTGATAACGTCTTGATCGTTCCCCTCCCTTACGCGCCCCTTTTCATCCAAACAATAATAAGACGAGGGAGAAAAACGCAAGACGCGACAATCTTCTACTATCATCTGCCTCGACGAATTTAATATTTAGGTATAATAATTAAGAAACGGCCTAAATGCATTCTTTAAAAATTGAGATTTTTTTATTCATGTTTGATATATTCTAGAGAAATAAATATAGAAATTGATGTAATACGAAAATGATGACTTAAAAGTACAGAAAATCGTGTATAAATTGGCGTGTAAAATATATTCAGAATGTTCTCTGTATCGTTTAATTCAGGAACGTGGCTTGAACTTGGCGAATTCGGCTAACTCGAGCAGTCGGTCCCATCGTTTAACATTTCCCTCCGCGTTACCGAAGACACAAACATCGCTGGATTTCCGCGATACTCGCGAGTGAGATCCTCTGTTCCTCAAAACAAGATTAAGTAATATCTGTCCACTTAACTTACGCTCACGTGACATAACCCAATGTCCAACTTACTTCTACGAATTAACTAGATCCCGCGCGACAGCGTTACAGCGAAAGAATCTAGCGGTAGATCGATGAAATTTTTTGCAAAATAACGACGAATACGGGAGAGAGAGAAGGTTCGCGTGATTCGGAAGATAGAGAGAAGGAAGGTCAGATCGGATAGTCGAATACAGGAAAGCGTACGATCTAGTTCTAGGCCGCGGGGAGCCTTGTGACACTAGCCTAATAAGCTCTGGGCCCATGTGACAAGCGATCGATGATGAATCCGTACAAATCATTCGCGACTACCTATCGTAGCGTTAAAGTTCGATGCTAGGTCAACACGCATAGGCCAGCTAAGCGTATCTGGTTGGCACGCTCGGTGAAATCCTAAGCTTCCGCGAAACGCGCCACGAGTTCCTCGATTTCGTCTCCCGCGAATTAGCCATTCGACACGGTGAAATCAATTAAACATCACCACATGCGCCTGTTACGGTGCGATCGAAATTTCGAGATTTGGCTGTTGTGAGTAGGATCAACGGTGAGCAAATCTATCAAGGTGGAAGTACGGTGTGCGTCCTCGGTGTTCTAACTTTGTGTGTCATTTTTTTGTGCATGTGTGAACTTAAGCAATTTTCCTTCCAACTTTTTCATTCTATCCTTCAACTATTTCTCGGTAGTTTTACGTTTGTGCGTAAAGTTCTGTTTCTAAAGAATGTGTACTATAGTGTGATTATTAATTTCATTGCAGATAATATGAATCTAGAGGAGTACCGTAAACATGGTAAGTAAGAAAAATTGAAAAAATGAAATAGTACATCGTAAGATATTCAGGGTTTAGTTTATTACGTTAGTTGTGATGGTTTTAACAGTGAAGCATGGTGCACTGTGGATAAATGTTAACAACTGTTGCAAACGCTTGTAAACCTAGCAATCGTGTCACGCGAATGAAACGAGGAATTTGCAATAGGTCGTCAGATCTGTTTCCAGGCATTAAAACGGTGCCAATAAAGAGGGATCACCGTAGGGGGAGTAAGTCTATGGGAGTTTTATGGATTCGATACTGTTTCCAATACGGGCCACACTAGATTCCGTCTTTGCAATCTAAATCTCTGAATCCTAGGCAAAGCATCCGAACGAGATTTCCCTTTCTCCTTAAATCCAATTTCGTACGGAAAAACGCTCCGTTCGTCCATCTTTTGTTTCGGAAGGACAATAAAATCGACAGCTGTATAAACGGCTATCGCGTTGGAACGTTGTCAGTTTCTATCTTGAAATGTGCTGTTACGATAAACGTATTAGCGAATGTTGAACAAACGTTAGAATTTCGTTGGAACTATGTTTGAAATCGAAGGAGCGAACAGGAATCGAATCACATTGTTGCGCTTAAGGTGCATCAACAAAACGAATTGGGGAAGGAACAAAGCGGTTATTTGTGGCAACGATTGCGTTCGCGGAAGTATTTTACCAATATACTTAAGACAGACCCTTCTAAATAGAGAAAACCAGAGACAATCGGTTTAAGGTTTTCTCATCGAAACTAAATAATTGATCCTGTTCGAGGAAAGTCGACGAGTCCTCGCTTTTTAAACACTACGAAGTGTAATCAAATTTTCTTGCTCAATGATGATTCGAGATACGGCAGTTTTTGCTAAATAATAAAATGATCACATAAAAATAGAAATGAAACTTCTATATTTCTTCCATGAAATTTTGTTAATTTCATCGATGCTAAGACTCGCGACGACGATTGGAACAACACTTTTCACAGAATAATAAGTTATCGCTGAATGAGAAAATAAAAGAAAATTCAACTTTTACATTTCTTCGATGAAATTTCGTTAATGCCATCGCAAACGAGGGAAAAGGAAACGCTAAATTCTCGCATGAGTAAATAGAAATAGAAATTTCATTGAAATGTTGTTAATTTCGCCGACGCAACCAAGACTCGTGACGTGATTTAAAATCGGCAGGAAAAGAAATGGTGGATTACATCGCCGATTATCTGGCGAACATTCGATCTCGACGCGTTTACCCGGCGGTTTCTCCTGGTTACCTGAGAAACGTTCTACCATCGTCAGCACCGGTGGACGGCGAGCCCTGGGACGACATTTTCGCGGACATCGAAAAGTGCATCATGCCAGGAGTGACGCATTGGCAGAGTCCCCACATGCACGCTTATTTTCCAGCTTTGAATTCACCTGCCAGCTTACTGGCCGATATGCTGGCCGACGCGATCAATTGTCTAGGATTTACCTGGGTAAGAACGGTTCTATCGCTACAACACATCGTCACTGAACTAATCAGCGGTACTAAATTTAAGAAAAAATTTCAATCTCACGAATGAAACGTTGGAAGAAGAAAATGATAGTACGTGTAATTCTCGTAATCTTCTATCACGACGGATGTTAACAGTAGACCTCGTTTTGAATCAGAAGCTTCCTCATATACCGAGTTCGGAAGTTGTGCCATTCAGATTCGACGTTTTGTCCGCTTCTGTTAATACGCGTTTCTGTTGTCAGTGCTTGGGTAAAAGGGAAGGTCTTTAGTCACAAGTTATAGGAACACGACACCGTCTACGAATATACTCAATTCCATTCGCTAATTTTTGCGCCGTAACGTCGCGATATTTTCCAAACGAACGTTGTTCAAAAATGAAAAAATTCAGTTATTTAACTGCTCCTCGATTATTCTTCACGAAAAAATCTTCAAACTATGCACTGTAATAGAAATTTCTTTCTTTTTTTTTTTTACTAAGAAAAGCTGCACATCGTTGCATTCCTTTAATTACGAAACTTTCAAACGCGTTGTTCGAAAAGGCCTCGAGTCCTGCGTGCACAGAGCTGGAGACCATCGTAATGAATTGGCTGGGCAAAATGATCGGCCTGCCAGATGAATTCTTGCATCGCCCAGGAGGATCCGGAGGTGGTGGCGTGATACAAACCACCGCATCAGAAGCCACCCTCGTTTGCTTACTCGCGGCAAGAACCCGAGCCATTAGAGATGTGCAACAAAATGAGCCGGATCGTTTACCAGCTGAGATTAATTCACGTCTTGTCGGCTATTGCTCCGACCAAGTACGTATTTTCTGTTTCCAACATTTCTTGCCGACACATCGTTCTCCCAAGAGCTTTTCAACCACCCCTTTCCCACTTTCCTTCTCTCTCTTGCAAATTAATTCCTATGAGTTGCAATATTTTCACAGAAGAGTTAACATTTTTGCAATCCGTGGGTGTTTCCAGGCTCACTCCAGCGTGGAGAAGGCTGGACTAATAGGTCTGGTTCGAATGAAGTACATCGAATCCGACGACGAATTCAGTATGAGAGGGGAAACGTTGCTGGAAGCGATATCGCACGACAGAGCCGAGGGGTTACTTCCATTCTTCGTGAGTAACGTCACCGACGTTTCTAAAGTATCTCTCGAAATCGAGAATAAAAATTCCAATTGATACGAACATCTATCTCCATTTTGCAACAATCACGTCAGATACTTGATTCATCGTTACACGTTTATTATACGTTGTCTTCGTTGTCCTCGTAAATATTACAAACTAATAAATTCCTCGGTAACGTAAATTTCGAACGTTCTTCGCGAGATTATTCGTCGGAGAAGAATGATATTCCGTAATACGGTATTAAACTATCGAGCATAATTGACGAGAAAGTGCGTGTACCTTCTGTTTCCAATTAACGTCATTAAGGCGGGATAGTGATACTCTGGCAGTATAAAAAGATCGCCCCGCCAATTAACCTTGCCAGAGTTGTTAGCAGTTGCAGTAGAAACGAGGGCGGACATGGCATTGCAAGGCGGATTGTCTTTTCGCTAGTTGGTCCCTAAGGACCTCTGGTCTCGACTAGCAAACCCTCCATTTTTCAAGACGATAAATCTAAAATACGGTGGAAATAGGTTTTGTTGCCACGCCGCTCGGTTAGAAAATTTCAAGCGCCGTCCTCTCGGTGAATTTCAATGGAAAATTGATAAACCGTCGAAATCTACTTGTGATAACATTGAAAATTTTCCAAATTCATTTATCTCAACGTGTGTCTCGTTCGTTTACGAAGGTTTGCGCTACTTTGGGTACGACCGGTGCGTGCGCCTTCGACAATCTGAAGGAGGTTGGTCAAGTATGTAAGTAAATTAAAGGAAATAAAGGAAAATATGACAAATACGACACTATCGAGTGAATATCAATTTTTTTTCATTTGTAAACTACTTCTTCTCAACGGGAAAAATTAAAATTCACTGTAAATTTTCATCGTTTTGGAAACTATCAATTTTTTCATTTTTTCATTTGGAAACTACCCTAATTAGAAATAGTGAAGGAATGTACATTGCAGTAGATCATGATTAACGGTACTGCAAACGTCTTTCCTGGAATATTTTTCGAAAATTCATTTTGGGAAATTCTGATTAATTGGCAAAATTTCTGTTCGGCGAATTAATTACTAAAGTGTTATCCGTTTGGTTTAACCGTCAGGCGAGCAAAATGGACTCTGGTTACACGTGGATGCAGCCTATGCAGGCAGTGCATTCGTGTGCCCCGAATTCCGTGGTTGGCTTCAAGGTATAGAATATGCCGATTCGATCGCATTTAATCCTAGCAAATGGCTGATGGTGCACTTCGATTGCACCGCGATGTGGTAAGTGCACGATTCAAGCTGTGAATTTTATTATGAAACACTTGCATTCGACAAAAGTTCGACGAGAAGAAAGGAAAATCGTGAAAGAAAGAGGAATTCTCAAATACAGAAATGGTCGTAGATCCGATAAAATTTATAAACGCGGAACATTATCACCTCTCGTCCTCTTTCTCATGACTTATAGCTCGAACAGCGGATGCAGAATCGGTTTTTTCATTCTTCCTGCAATTTCCGTCGTGTCGTACGGCCGACCCGACATAATTCACAATCTTTAGCATCGATGTTCGAGTGTCCGTTAAAGCTGATAGCGCGCGAAACGAATACAACAAAGAAATTGATTTTGTCACGATCGATTACGTCTCTTAATTAAAAATATTTCGTTCTTTTCCACATCGAACAGAGATTAGAATTCGCTTAGGTTTCCTGTCCAGCTGAATTAAAGCAGAATCATGAAAGATAATGAAATTGCTGTTCCATTAGGTATTAATAATACGAATCGTTCCAATGAATTGAGGTATAATATGAGAGGGAAAAAATGAATATCCCGAGGTGCAATCGGGTGAACTAAATTAAACGGTGAAGAAAAAGAAACAGAACGGAATGAAATTCAGATTCTTTCCCGAGATTTTCCTACTTCGGTACGAAATCGAATTTTTGGAGAAAGGACGAAATTAGAGATAATTTCTAACGATTGTTTCAGGGTGAAAAGTAGCCAGGCGTTGCACCGGACCTTCAACGTGGATCCGTTGTACCTGAAGCATGAGAATTCAGGTAACGAGTGGAGCAACATTTTTCCCCGTTTTTAAGTTAACCTATTCGCCTAATAAATAAGGCGTCTTATTTATTTCCAGGCCTTGCTATCGATTACATGGTAACTACTGAATAAGTTGAAAAGCTGTTGCCAAGCATGTTAACCCTTTGCACTCGGAGGTTATTTTGCTACAGGAAACCGAATTCCAAATCGGATTTTCGAATTCAATATTTCGATGTATATTCTCTATTTCACTGTGGTGAACGAATTTACGGAGGCCCATAGATCTGCTCTCGGTCTTGATCAATTACTTACCAAGTGAGAATTATTCAATGTCGCTTCTCAGTCGCAGAAAGGGTTTGCAAAGGGTTAACGAGCGCTCGTTTAGAATACGCGTGTGTTATCTCAATTTCTGATTTCAG